TTCTGCTGCATGCCTCACAAGTGTAAGAACCCAAGTTTGATCCCCAGTATCCCCCAATAAAAAGTAATTTATGTTGATCCATGTACAATTGAGTTCTCTTCACATCCAATGTCTTTTTCAATTTTTCCTAATTTTCAATTTTATATATTGTTGGTACGCATTTCTAGTACATAATGATTAGCTTAATCTCAAACACGTGGTACATATATATGACATTTCCAAATTATTTTATGTGAGCTCCTCCCTGCCCCATCCCTGCATCTTCAACTTCATCTGTCATATGTATATATTTCTTTCCAACCACTGAACTTTAAATTTGTTACTGGTTATTTTAGGAACTTTAATTCCATACTTAGGTTATTTATGATTGCTTTTTGCTAATGCAGCAAAGATCTAAAGTTTCTTCTGAACTATTTACATTGTGTCCTCTACATTCTGATATATTGCATTTCCATTACCATTAAAAGTAGGGATTTTTTATTTCTCGTTTCATACCTTCTCTGACCCATTGATTATTCAATAGTGTAATTTTCATGCCCTGTGCTAGTCTTTTTTCTGTGGTTTCTTTGCTGTTGTTTTATAGATTCATCATATTGTGATATTTCAGGACACTTGAGATTATGATATTTTAAGATCAATAACACTCACTTTATGGCCTGAAAATATTGTCTATTTTGAAGAACTATCCATGGGATGCTGCACAGTTTATGTACTATTTTTTGAAAAAAATTTTGGTATTTTTAATGACTTTTTTAATTATAGCAAAGTCTAACTCTGATTTTTTCTTTGTCTTTTACTTTCTATTTGACCATCTATTAGTGAGAGTAGGATATTGAAAACAACCACAAATGCTGCATTGAATTCTAGGTGGCCTCTCATATCAAGAAGTGTTTTGGAAAACTGGGTTCATCAATGTTGGGTACATGAGTATTCACAATGGTTGTCTTGGTAAATTGATCCCTTTGTCAATATGCAGTGACCTTCAATGTCTCTGCAGAATAATTTATCTTTGAAGTCTACTTTGGTGGATCTGAGCACAGCTACTCAGACTGGTTTTAGTCTTCAAGATGACTGAATTATCCTTCTTTCAATCAGTGTCTTTTTGAGCCACATGTGATTCTTTCGGGCAACATATATTAGTATGTTGTGTTTTGACCCAATCTTTTATTTTATGTCACTTACTGAGGACTTACAGTGATTTCATGAAATATTGTTAAATGTTTTATATTAATTTGTTTAATTTTGTTTTGGTGTTTGCTTCATATCAGGCATTTTCTTTCCTATTCTCACAGTGAGATTCACTGTTTCCACTGGTCTTGTGATGGTGACTGCCCTCTATATTTGTTTTGAAATTTCCCCTTAGAAATTCTGAACACTTTTTATCAAGAAATTTTTTTTGTACTTATTTTTGAAGGTCTTTATATTTTCTGCATTTTGACTAGGTATATTACTGTAAGTTTGTAATTATTTTCTTCAGGGCTTGAAGTACATCTCTTTAAGCCTTTCTAGTTTATATATTTTCAATTGAAAGAATTTGTTTTTGCTTCTGAGTTAATAATTCTAAGCTATTTAGCATTTCTCTCTGCTCATAATCATCTGTGTCTAAAATTTTGGCAATTTGAGTACGATGTGCTATGAGGATTTCCTTTTTTGGTCATGTTTATTTACCTGTTTTCTAGTAGAAATTTCTCCTACAATTTTAGTAAGCTTTTTATGTCATTGGGGTGTACTCCATCATCCTAGTTGAGTCTTCATTTTATTCTTTGAGATTTTTGGAGATTTCTCAAATGACCTCACTACTTCTTCTTCATTCACTTCCTGGGCCATCATTGCAGCACATCCCCATTTGTCATTTAATTCTGATACTGTTTCTTGTTGTTCATCTTAATTGTTGTTGAGACTTTCAGTAGAATTTTTCTATACTGTTTAAAGATCAACTTCTAGGATTTCTTAGTTCTTTTCCCAAAATTTCTGTTTTTAGTAATGTTGTGATAGGTATTTGTTAAACAATGCATACGGAGAAAAAGAATAGAAATAAAATAACAGAAAGTTTATTTTGTCGACAAAAGGTTGAGCACACTAAGAGCAGTGCCAGTGGTCAACTTCCTACTGGGTTGCAGCTCCTTCTTTTATAGGTTTTGCAACTATGACCTCATTCATTTTGTTGCATTTCACTTCCTTGGCTCACGTTACCCATGTATAAATTACAGTGACAAGACAGTTAACTTGAATCCAGATGTAACAATTCCTTGCAGTTGGGGAGTTTACCTCAATATTCCTCTAGATATCTATTCTAGTGCACCGGGAGGTGGTGTTCAAGGTCAGGGATGAAGTCAAATGTCCCATTTTATGGTCAATGCCTCCAGTGTCTGTTAATTTTCAACTAAGCAAAGCAGATTGCTGTTAGAGACAGCAGAAGTCATTTTGCATTTTTCTAACATTTTGTAGACTTTTATATTATTTACCAAAATTCTCTGTATCAGTAATACTGTCTATCATATATTGTAACTGTTTTCCTCCTTGATTCATTCAGTTCTTTATTGTATCTTCTTTGATCTCATTAAATATTTAATTATTTGATTAATCATTCTCCTTATTTGCACCATCTTGGCTATCATCAATCATTTTAACTATCACTTCTTAAAATTCTTTGAAATTTCTTCCACTTCAATATCGATGGAATCAATTTTTGGGAGCAAACTATGAATTTGGGAAACATACTGTTTCCGTGTTGTATGATGATTCTTTGATTGTGTGTGTGCATGTGTGTGTTGAAGTTTGAGGATCACTGGAAATGGAGAGTGGAAGACCTACTGAGTGGAAACCTTTTCAGTAAGTGTCTTTGTTGTTGTGATGTGTTGCTGTGTAGTATCTCGGCATGGAAGCATGCAGTCCACCCCTTGTTTCTCAACTGTGGTATGAGTTTGTGCTCTTAACACTTTTTTTGTGGACATTGCCACCAATAATGTGAATATCTGATGAACACACCATATATCAACATGTAATTTCTGTAACTGAAATGTTGTCTACAAGGTCATACAGTCTATTGATGGGTTTGCCAAGGAAAACTGATAGGACATATTTTCTAAATAAAGTAAAAACAAATAAATGAGTAAAAGATAAAACTATGCCTTATAGCTATACCTGGAGAGTGGAGAGTAGAAATAGTCCATAACTATGTGAACTTAATAAGGCCCTTATGTGAGAAGAACCCTAACAACATATCAATTAATATATACTAAATTCATATACCTAATCACAAAGAAAGACAAGAGGAATACCTACAAATATAGCTTCTAGGAAAGGCAGGCCTTAAAGGTAAAGAAAATATGATTTTAAGTTATGTTGATGTAATAAAAGGCATATTTTGTTACTGACTTGAAAATATGAGAACAGCACATTTTTAAATATTAGGATGAAATAATTAACAATCTTAAATTATTAAATCATCAATAAATCTTAACTCTTAAAAGTAGAGATACTACACTTTAGACACCTAAAATGATTTTTTAATATAAAATATGTTCAATTTTAAAAAATAAATATTTTTGTAATCACGTTTGGATTTATGCAATCAGTATAATAATTTTCATACAAGTTTAAATGAAATAGCTTACATGGAAATGAAACTATATTGTAAGATAAAACATCAAGCAAAAATTTTAAACTGACATTATAAATGTAGACATCAAATATTTTTTTAAAAAGGAGATTTTCATCCCTCTTCTTGATCTAAGCTTATGTACTTCCACATGTTGTAATTCATTGTCAATTCTTTTCTTTGCAGCGGTTTTATTTAAAACGTATAACATGTGAGTCAAACATAATAATCATTAAATTATTTTTGAAGACTATAAACCTGTGGACATCAGGAGAAAGGCAAAGAAACCAGTGGCTGAAGCTCCTGGTCACGTCACAGAAAGGTTTGGTCTCACAGGAGCACATCTGACAGCTGTTATTGCTACTGATTTTCAAATTGATTAATTCACTACATTTCAGGTTGAAAGCACTATACAAGGAGAGTCATAATCTTTCTCATACACTGAGTACATGGTAATCTTACATTTTTCAGTTATACAGCTTATTAGATATTAAACTTTAAAGTTTATAACAAAAGAAGCAAAGATTATACAAGAAATGACAGGAACTGTGTTAAATATATAGAGACATATAATAATAACCAGTGACTTAGTAAAACATGCAAAAACCAGGCAACAATGGGTGCAGTAATTTTCTTTTATATATAATCATCATTTTCCAAATTGTCTTCAACTTTAAGATGTATCACCTTCCAATAACTTAAGTCTACTTCAATATGTTACCGAAACTGCTGCCCTATTTTCTAGGGGTCTGTTAGCATATAAATTCATGGAAAAAGGGAGATTTGTATTAAACATAAAGGAACACTATTCAGAAATATGTAGTGTTTATTATGCCAAAATATATAGGAATGAAATCTTTTGGGTGATAATGGCCAGCACTTATTTCATTGTCCTAAATGTTTTATGTCTAGCTTCTTATTCATACAGGTGGGCATACAGAACCTCATTATTTCAGAGAATTAGGGTTTGACTAATGATCGAAAACACCAGATGTAGAATCTTCACTTGAAAGAAATGGCCCAAAACTTTGCTGCTGATAATCACTATAAACAGAATGACATAAGAAAAAGAGTGATTATTCATTATGAAATATTTTAATCTGGAGATTTATGGAAATATATCAATATACTTTATAAAATTACAAAAATTTTTTTTGTGCACAGTTTTCCTTAAGAGCATAGATTTTCTATTTCTTATATTTAGCACTTAATTGATGATACCAAATTATAAAGTTGTAAGTATTTGTATCTCTACATGTCCAAAATTATGTTTTTTTTTAAAGTAAAGACCAGCTGGAAAGGAAAAAATAACAAGAGTCCATTTTTTTCAGAATGAGACCAAAAAATTTGTTCGAAGAAAAATGTAAATGTGAAAAAATATAAATGTCTAGCATCACTGTTATTTTAATTGTCTAGAAACTTCAATCTTCTGCATGATTCTAACGGCAGCACTTTTCACCTCTTTGTTTCTGAGACTGTAGATGAGAGGGTTCAGCATGGGGATCACAATCGTGTAAAATACAGAAGCCACCTGATCCCTCCCCAAGGAGTAGGATGACTTCGGTTTTAAGTAAGTAAAGATCATGGTGCTGTAGAAGATGGAGACACCTAGGAGGTGAGAGGCACAGGTGGAGAAGGCTTTCTTCTTTCCAGCAGTGGAATTAATTTTCATGATAGTGGACAGGATGGACAGATAGGATCCAGATATCGTGATGAGGGACAGCACTAAGTTAGACCCAGCACAAATGAATATAATGATTTCATCCTCAGTAGTGTCACTGCAAGACAGGGCTAAAATAGGGGATGTGTCACAGAAGAAGTGCTGGACGACATTAGAGTCACAGAAGTATAGTCTGCTCATGTAAACTGCATTGACAGTGGAATCCACAAAGGCAATAACATAGGAGCCAGTTAGCAGGGACCAACACAGTCTTGTAGACATAATGACTGGATAGTGTAGGGGTCTGCAGATAGCGACACAGCGATCATAGGCCATGGAGGAGAGAAGGAAACATTCAGTGGCACCACAAACTATAAAAAAGAACATCTGTGTGAAGCAGCCCAGGAAGGAGATGCTCTTGTTGGAAGTCAGTAAGTTCTGTAAGGTTTTAGGGGTGATGACACTTGAGTAGCTGAGGTCGAGAAATGACAGGTGAGTGAGGAAAAAGTACATGGGGGTGTGCAACTGGGGATCCGTGCGAATGATCAATATCATCCCCATGTTCCCCAGCACCGTGATCAGGTAAATCAGGAGGAAGAGCACGGAGAGGACCAGCTGTGTCTCTGCAGAGTCCGTCAGCCCCATGAGGATGAAGCCAGGCACAATGGTGGAGTTCCATCTACCCATGGTGTCCTGCTGCACTTATCTGTTGAATAATAAGTTTGAAAAATTACCCTGTCTCCAAAAATATTTTTATTTGTGTGAATTTCTCATTATGTCCCATAGTATTACAGAATGTGATGAAAAGTACTGTGAAGAAGAGTAAAGAAAATAAAATCTCCATGTATAGATATGGGTATAAAAAGACATTTGTTTCTGACACAATGCAGGGTTTTATCCTGTTTTTAGCGTGGAATTGATACTACTCTAAACTTTTTCCCTTGTTAACACATGCAATTCTCAAGAAAAGATTGTATTACAAAGATTTTTGTCCAAATACTTTACTCCTGAAATAGGCTACTGATTATTTACATAAAAACAAGAAGTTACATGTTGACACTAATTCAATCTTGATTTTGACTTCACATAACAGACTTACCATGCTGTGTTCCTGATAGAAACTTGTTTAAAAATCCTGAATGAGGACATATAATTGACTACTATGAAAACCTTTTTTAGTTTATTATTCATTTTCTTTTTTTTCAATGTGTTTTTATAATAATTAAAATAATATTTGTCTATACATTGAGGCCATACTCTTAAGTGAAATAAATAGATACCGAATAGTTTTTCTAATGTAAAAAACCTAAAAATGCAAGCCAGGTTCAAATTGTATAACTGATAATATGAAATAGGAAGAAAAGATCTAATGGAGTAGGGAAGTGGCAAGGGTAGGGGAAAGGAAAAAGGAAAAAGAAAAAAGTATGAGAAGAGGAATAAATGGAAACAAAGTCTTTGTAAATAGGGAAGGATGGAAGATGTCAAGGAAGGACAGGGGATGGGGAAAAAATAACCAAGATGCATCATGTAAAGGTACAAGATCCCAATGACGAATGTAACTATATTATATACCTTAAAATTATTAATAAAATTAATGAAAAAATCATTTCTGTCTGGGACTTAGGTGATTTACATTAATATTAAATTCCTGCAGATATATTAACCAAAAAAATTAACTTTTAAAACATCTGGATTCTTAAAAATAGACTGCTTCTCTGGCAGAGAGCTGGATTACTCTTCCTATTCTCCCCTCAAATGACTGCTTAGAGAATTAGTGTTCAGTCTCAAAAATATCATGACTCCCTGAGAAGAATATTCAGACACCACCCCAGAGAATCGGGTCGCTTTTACTTGGAAAAGATAGGCAGGGAGCTTGGAGTCACCTGGATGCAAAAGCCCTGGCAGAAATTAACACAGGAAGTTAGATTTGTGGGGAGAAAAGGCTCCTGTCTCTCCTGTGGAGTAAATACAGTCTTTCTTTCCACCAAAATAACTTTTCCCCACTTTTGTTGAGGCAGCCAGAGGCAGCATGGACCTTCAGCTCTGCTAACAATGTGTTTTTTTTACTTGTCCTTTCAAAATCCATTTTCCTCAAAACATTACATTTTCACAATGTATATTGCTTGTATATTATCATTTCCACAAATTCTATATACTTTTTCTGAAAATCTTAAAATTACTTATGATGAGGCCCAAATGATGTGTGTACATATTTTTGACAAAGTCCTGTTTATTTGTCCTAGTATAATTCCCTGCTGTTCTCATGATACTTACCGTGCACTGAAGTTGCTGAAAAAAATCTGTCTTCCAATGTTGTCTGCTAGAAATTTATGAAGCAAGAAGTATTAGCAGAAATAAAATAGGAAACCATATAGTGAGATGAAAATTAATTGTAATCTGTTTGTTTTTCTACGGGTAACTTATCTTTACGCTTTTCTGCATTCTTTTTTTATTCTGAGGAAAATGGTTTCACCCTAGAAATTTTGTTCAAGTCTAGATCAAATGCAAATGTCACTCCAAAGTTTCCTTTGGAAAGAGTCGGAGGAGGAGCTGTGAACGGAGACAGACCAGTGTGTGCCTCTCCTCCCAGTCAGCCTCATATACTGTGCATTCAGGACACCGCAGCCTTTGCTCATCCTCGGGGAGCAATTTCCAGGGAAGATTACTTGGACCAACTTCAAAGAGAAAAGTTCAAAAATTTAATGAACACAAGATTTTGTCTTTTCTCTTAGAAGTCCCACATTTAGAACATAAACACTTCATCTTCTCTTGTGATGCATGAAGATTCTGCTGAACTCCATTTATTTACTTTTAAAATTGGGGCAGAGTTATAGAAACTTGCTAAGAGTAATGTTTACATTTGAGTGATTAATTGGAAATTTTTGACTTGGAAGTTAGAAAACAAATTTTCTGAGTCATATTTTCTTTAAAATTGACAGTATGAAGGATGAGACCATCAAAATTTTTCACCTGGAAATGTTTTATACTTAAATTGATGACCTGGCCAGAGACATAACACATATTCATTCAAAGAAGGTAGAAAATATTAAAATTCAAAGAAAAAATAAAACAATTCAAGACTTGTCACAGTTTGTTTTTCATAACAGTAATTTCCTCCACTTATTTTATTTGTGAGAAAAAAATCTAATTTGGATCTATATTTTTAAGTTTGCCTAATTATTATAATACAGTGCATCCAATGTTTTATCCTGGTTTTTGACTCAATACATTCTTCCAGGACCAGGTGTGTTAGTCTGTTACTAAGGAGCCCCTCAGGTCTCATGCTTTGGACAGGACTCCAGTACTCACTTACAGGACTGAAAGGATAAATAGGCATCCTCAGGCCCCACAGGAAAGGGGCAGAACCTACACTATGTTTTGTCTGAATGTTTGGCTTCTATAGGCAACATTCAAGTAATAGATTTTTAGCATTTTAGTGTACCTGATTTTTTTTATTTTGTAAAAGAAAAATAAACAGAAAGACATAACCAGCCAGGATACTACCATGAAATTCGTATGATTAGAGGAAAAATACCTGCTTTGTTATATCAAGTCATGGAAGATCTTGTCTTGAGAAGATTTACAAGAAATTAAAACATAATAGTAAAGCTGAAATAGTTTATTGAGGGGTGAGAGTAAAGGTTAGGTTTTTGTTACAGAACTTTTGTATGAGCTTCAGTTCTCAGCCCTGCTTTATAAAGACAGAATAATCATCAGTAACGTCAATATCCAGAAAACCAATCATTCACCAACATATAATTTATACGTTATTAGAGGAACACTCCAACGTTTTTCCTCATTTAGGATCAGAAAGGAGTAGGGAGGAAATAAGTAGGATAGGATAGGGGAGAAAGGCCTTAAGGAGAACATTTATATATAAGAAGAAAAGTGGGAAAGACAGGATAACAATGAGGATAGGAGGAGGGGGAATACAAAAGAGAATGTGAGAGAATATAAATGAAAAGGGAGAGACATAAGAGAGTGGAACTAATTAAAGAGTTAGCAGGCACATATTTTTTAAAAGGTAAGAAAGCCTGTGAAACAACTCTGGCCGGAGAAAACCTAATAAAACAAAATTAGACCCTCTAGCTGCACGCACAATAGCATAATGCTTAGAAAATCACACACACTGTGACTCTAAGAACTTATGGGGGCATCTGAACTGGAGACCGGTGTTTCCTGTAGAATTCCACTCTTTGCCCTCTTCCCTAGGAAGTTTCACAGGAGAGGAGAAACACACTCCTTCCTGATACTCTAAGTTTGCTTTCTTCCTGCCCCTTTTGATGTAGAAAAACCTATGGGGTTGCAGGGAGCTCTTAAGGTTCGTGAGGGGATGTGTGTACCTGGTGAGGTAACATGGTGACCCCACAGGGAATACATATATTAGTATTTTATTAACTACATGACTGCTTTCTCTTACCTTAGGTAGCTGCCCCATCCATGTTACCTGTGCATTTTATTTAAAGTGGCGGTGCTCGCCTGCTCCTCTTTCCTCCTGTGCCTGTCAGCACCTTCTCTCATCAGTCTCTTCCTTAGAGAGGATTCCAATCTTAGCTGTAAATTCTTCTTCGCATTGCGCTCTCTGGTGCCTTTCTAGCTCTGCTCTCTCTCTCCTTCTCTACCTGAGTCCTTTCAATCCCTCTAAGAGATTCCTCTAGTAAAGCTCTGCCATTTCACCTCAGGACCAGCCAGGGAATCGAACTACAGAGGATAGAAGCACTCTAAGATTTCCTACTAATTTCTCTATTAAAGCCGCATGCTGTGCTCACTTCGGCAGCGCGTACACTAAAAGCCGCATGCAGCCCTTCCTCCCCTCTTTCCCTGCCTACAGACCTGAACACCCACAGGAGAGAATGAGAAGAGATGGAGTAAAAAAGACAAGGAAATACAATTGGAAAGTAAGAAAAATTATAGGCAATTGTAACTCAATTACTAAATTATCAGCTATGTCTATCTGATAAAAAGACAGAAAACCACAGGAAACAAACAGCTATAAGAGAACCTAACCAACCAAGGTAACGCCCTATATCAGCAAAGCAATAGCTTTAATTCTTGCACAGTTACACACACACACTCTGATCTGGACTGGAGACCAGTGTTTCCTGTAGAATTCCACGGTGGGACAGGGCCTCATAGAAGGAGCAACATGGAAATCACGTTGTCTTTCCCTGTGTCTCCTGCTCAGCCTCTGTCCAGGTGGGAGAGGCCATTTCCTGCAGCCTGGAGCTGAGCTCCGCCCTCCATGGTGACCTCCGTCCTCTGCCAGGTTTGCCCTTGGGGAGCCTGGAACACAGCTGCCCTCATCCTCTCTGCTCTTAGGAGCCAGGTTGAGGGTAAAACGGGGTCTGCCTACTTTTGCTCGGGTGCTTACCATGGCCCCAGTGCCTCAATTCCCAGGCCTGGCTCCCAGATGCTTGGATGCCCAGTGTCTGTGCATTGCTCTGGTTACTCTGAAAAACTCCCAGCAGAGCAGAGGGCTTGGGGATTCAGTCTTCACTGAGATAGGGTAAGGAGCTGCACACACCCTGCCTTTCAAACCATTCTGCAGCCCAGTTCACAGCCTTGGAGGCCCACTTTCCACGAATCCTCCTGAGCCTGAGCTCTGGCCTGCAGCAGTGTTCAGAGCGCCTCGTTTTCTATATCCTGGCCTTTGTGTTCTGCTGTTTCACTTCACTGGGATGGATGTG